GCATTAAAAAAGATTTAGTGCTGCATGCATTCGAGTTACGATTTATTTTTTTATCTATTAAACATTTAGGTATTAGAAATCTATTAACTTGACAAAAAAATCAGTGTACTGCCTTTCGAACTAAAATTTATTACGCTTTCACCCTTTTAAAAAGCACTTACAGAAATTTTAAAATCCTTGACAAAAAGACTTTAAGGAAGAATGATGGATACTTTGAATAATATGAAAATAGAAGTGAAAGAAACGGATATGAATTCAGAAATGATTCAAAAAAGCATAAACATTGTTCAAGAAGCACAACAACAATTTAAACTTGATAAGATAAGTATTATTTCAAATTTCAAGCTACATTTTTAATTCAAGACAACTTGATTAATTCCGTTTAATAAAAGTAAAGTTATATATATTTTTTTGAACTAAAAGCTGCAGTTTTTATGATTCTTACATTTACTAAAAACTTTTTAAGTCAAGAAATATGGCCAAAAGTTCTCATCATGTTGTTAATTTTACTTTCAAAAGTTTTTAAACTATAAAAACAAAAATTCTGTCGGTATTTTATTCTCCTCTTAATTTCCAAAATAACATCTGATATTTATATATCTACTTTTACAACAATTAATAAAAACTTCTTGATAAATTTATTAAGTATATGAACTTTTATAGAAATTATTCTGGAAGTATTTTGTTTCTCAATATTGCGCAAATCTTTGTTAGAATTTTTAAGATGTCGGAAATGTAATTTCAAGAAATTAATTTCAGGATATCGCTTCTTATATCAAGGATGAATTTGAGAGAAAGTTTGGTCCAACTTGGCATTGTGTGGTTGGAAAAAGTTTCGGTTCTCGTGTTTCATATGAAATTCAGCATTTTATTTTATTAAAATCAAACTGTGTTTCTATTATGATATTTAAATGCGGTTATTAATGTGATTAATATTAAAATTTTTGTGAAAATATACTTTAATTTTCATTATTTTTTAAAGTTATGGTATAAAAAAGTAGTTATTAAAAGTGACTTTTGATACCATTTTGGAAGAAAACCTAATGGACAATCTTTCAAAAGTTGTAGAGAACAATGAAACATTTCACTGATTAGAATTTTCAGCTGCACTCCTTGATTATATCTTATTGTTGATTATGTTATTCTGAATGCCTAAATGAAAAAGGCAACAATAAAGGCGTAGTACAGAAAGTGATCTTTTTTGATCAGTTTTTGATTGCAGCTAATGCCATGGTAAACGAAGAAACATGGAAATATTTGTGATATGAAGTGTTGATAAATACTTCTTCAAGCTTTCAAATTTCCTTCAATCGCAATTTCTCATAATTCTGATAAGATAGTAAATTAGTTGATGGTACTGAACATAATTTAATGTGACCTACTGATCATAATCAAAAAATATATTATCTTAAATAGTATCACTTCAATATGATATTTGGGTTGAATGATGGTAAAGAAGAAATAGCCTTATTTTTTTATAAATTCTACATAAATTAGACGATCAAAGGGAAAAGCATTATTATACAAAGATTTGCTCAACAGCACCACAGTATATTATTTTCGATATTGGATATTTTAGAAGGTTGAATTTGCTAGTCCTTGTATTAATTATGATTTCAATTATTTTTGTACTGTGTTTGTTTTTTGTGCAACCAAACATATTGGATCTGAGATTTATTGAAAGTTGCACAGTTGAGAAAGTGAAATTTTATTCATTTTAGTAAGTAATTTGATTATTTACTGGATTTTCGTTATAAGTAATATGATTGAAAGGTTAAAAGTTCTTTTAGATTATCAAAAACTCCAAATTTGGCTGAACTAAAAATTTCGAATTATGTAATATATTAAAGTAGATGTCTGAAGAATATAAGCTGGAAATTATTTCTATCCTAACTTTCAGTTTTTAAATTTTCCAACATTTTTAGTTATAAGTCATTTTCACTTCAAAAAAAAAAGTTAATACTAGTCATAACTAATAATGAACAGAAATATTATTGCTAAATTCTATTCATTTTGATTAATGGTGCAAAAATTTTTTTCCTTACCATGACATATTAGATTATGATAAACAAGTTAGCTATCATATTTAATATGATAAAAATAAATTATGGTATGGGGTGTTCTTATATGTGACATATAATCAAAAGCCATCTGTCATTAAAAAAGTAGAAGCCATCTTTGATTATTTATTATCATTACCTTTTTTTCCGTTTAATTTCAGATTTTTCTTCTTATCAAAGTCACAAACAAATAATTTTGATGTTGACAATTCGTCTCTGCAAACATTGGCTCAAAAAATTTTTACCATTCAAGACTTCTGCTCGATCATTCATTCATTATCTTTTCCATTACTCAACCATGACACTTTGCTTACTTTTGTCCGCTTTACTGTTTCTTATAGCATAAACTTTCATTTTTTCAAGAATTTACAAATGCGCAATCAAAACAATAGAAAAATTTTGCAAATTTTAGACTCTCTTTTGCTCAGCAAAAGCAATAATTATTAATTTCAAAATAGAAAATATAAATCTTTTTAAAGATTTTCATACATACTGCGCATTGATATCAAATATTTTATTATTGACTAGTAAAAACAAATACAGAATTAATTTATGACATTGCAAAAACCATCTTCGAAATTACTCCATTTTTAATATGAAAAATAGTGAATATTTTCACTCGTTAATGCTTAAATCTGTATTCATTAAAAGCGCAGATTATCTCACAAAGTAGGGCATGAATGATTGATGAAAAATAAACACAATAATAACATCAACTAAAATCTTATTTATTGCTTTTAAATAATCAAAAAATTTTTGGCTTAAAAAATATATACATTATATTTAACAGTTTCATTTATTTATAATGCTGCAGAGTGACTGCAACAGCATTAAATGAATTTAGAAAGATCTAAAATTGTGATATATTTGTTTTTGATTTCAGGTCAACAAAAAAGTTATGGAAAGTGTAAAAGCAGACGGTAATTATTTTCATAAAGAACTGATTTCATAAAGTTACAAACTTGACTTTTAATTTAATTAATGTACAGTTTTAATATTTAAATCTGTAATGAATAGGAAATGCAAATTACAATATAAAATTTGAAAAGAGCAAATAAAAACTATTTTTCTAAATGAAATTTTAGTTGTACAGTTTTTATTCGTTTATTAAATAAATTGGAAACTAGATGATATCATTTCTCACAGCTTCCAACTTTTACTGATCAATTTCATCGTTTTTAAGTAATTCGAGATTTTGGATTTAAAAGAAATTTTTTTACAGATTTACTCGATCAAATCTTTGCTGCACCTATCAATTTACCAACTGTGAAATCTTTACAGTTAGAAACCAATAAGGAAGGTGCTAATTTTTATCACTTTTACATTTTATGCATATGTTTTTGCTACCCTCTTAGATTATTAATGAACTAAAAATTATTAATGAACATTGTTTAAATTAGCTCCATCATTTTCAAAATTTTTAGATTTAAAATTGAAATATTTCTGGTACAACCGTAAATACTTTGAACTCTAAAAGTTAATGCATGATTAAAATCCATGTAATCAAAAGTTTCAGTCAATTCAATAATGAGGTCACAAATTAAGTGGTATCATCTTTCAGTTTTAAATTTTTTAAATTTAAATGATTTTTTGTCGTATTGTAAGAAGCAGAAAGATGGTTCCTTATTTTATATACGAAATCTGATTTTTAATAGATGATCATCATCAGTAAACTAATGAGACATAAATATTAATTTTACGTAACTAAAAGAGATCATTAACTATTTTAACATGAAACTCTCACTGACAATGTGTCCCTCTATTACCGATTTACTATTCAGCCAGAATAGTAATATTTTATGATTATTGCAACTTAAATCTTAAGTTTAAATAGTCAGTAATTAGTAAAATCATTGGAATTGAAACTCACAACTACAAAATGAATATTTGACATTAAGATTTGAAATCACTCGACTTGTATTAATGATCTGAAACAAATTAGACAGCAAATATCCATTAACAACTTCTCATTTCTCTTCAACTTACAGAATTTTTCAATCGCTTCTCAATTTTTCTTTATATGTTGCCAATAAAATAACAGTGAGCTGAAAAATGTTTACAATAAAATTTCACGATTTTTGTGAACTTTGACGTGATTCATAAAGCAAATAAAGAGCTATTTTGACGCGTCATGGTAATGGATAACGCTTTGTTTTCATTAAATGAGTGAAGAAACTTTATTATTAAACAATTTCAAAACAGAAATGTTTAACTTTTTAGAATTTTACTTCATTTTAGTTGTACAGTAGATTGACAGTACAAGTAGTCGAGTAAGTTCAAATATAATTTCTAAAATATTTATTTTGTGAGTGCTAATGAGTTGCGATTATCAATAATTACCCCAAAATTCATGATATGTATGTTAATAAGCGCTTTATTTTGCAAATATATTACAAATGTAACATAGTAGAGCACTGTTATGATCAGTAATTGTTTGTGAGATAAAACTTCAAACTTTTGACCAGCAAAGAAATTACAATAACAAATTATATAATCAGTCTTTAAGATGATGGAAACGAAGTTTGTACAGAAGATAAGGATATCTCCAAATTACTGGACAGAACAATCGTCACTACCGAGAATGAAGCAAGCGAATATTCAGAAACACAAGAATTTGAAAAGGCACATCCATACAAATGTTTAGAAAATGAATATTTTATTATTTTTCGATTTAAGAACTTTTCTGAACGTAAATAGATAAGAAGTATTAAATATGGCACTAAAATTGCGTTTGTTTGGTATGCAGTTAATCTTTTTCATACTATCAAGATTTCTAGGCAGAAGCTTCTGCGGAGAACTATTTAAGACGTGAACCAGACTTTGATCAGTTAATGGAAGACGATGATTCAGTTGAGGCTTACTTTTTTAATATTTGTGTTTAAAATAATTAATGAAAGTTTTTTAGGAATTGTGTATTTTCTACTAGTACTGTTTTAGCTAAAGAATGTAGTAAATAAAACAGTTATTATTATTCTATTTTAGAAAAAACCAAATTAATATGTTTCATTGAATATAACCAATCAAAATATTTTAATGTTGTATGCACTGCTATGAGAAATAATCAAAACTCTTTTCGTTTACAAAAATTCTTCAAACCACGTCAAAAAAATTCTAAAATTTATAGTGTGACAAAAATGGAAAACAGTGATTGCTTACTTAGTTGTGTCGGATAAGATGAAAATGTTCATAGTTATAAAGTTTTTCCGCGTATATCAAAGGAATTACAAACAATATGAACGCTTTATAACGTTTTTAAGAACTTTTTGATGTCATTAATGAAATAAAGTTTGATTATAAAAATTTAGACTTGATAATTTTGAATGCATTTTTCCAACAAACATTTTATACTTTACGGAAACATTTTGGTGAGTTTGCTTTTAATTTAGTTTATTTAGCAATTCAAAATCGTAGACAATACAGAATTAAACGAAACTATAAACCAAGTACATGTACAGGAAATCATTGAAGAAAAAAATGCTGAACAATCTGTAAGTTGATAACTTATTTACTTTTACCATTTAATTAAATTACACTAATCTGATGATTGTTAAAAGCACTTTAAAAATTGCAATTTTTGAATTAATTTTTGCCAATATAGTTTAATTTTAATCAGGTAACATCAATTTATTTTGCAACATTTTATTTTCTTTATTTTTCATATTACTAGCTGTGTTTCAGATTTCTATCAGTAAAACAAATTATATTTCGTAAAATAAATGTTTTCGAAAATTTTGTTAATTCATTGAAATATTAAAAGTAGTTTAAAATTTCTTCAAAAAGTGATAAACTTCCGTAAAGTAATGACTTTCAATACCAAGTAGATCACGCATCAAAAATCAAAAAATTACATCTTATAAAATTATCAAATACTATCATATTTTGTTATAAGAAATGATTTAGTCGGATTCAGTTGATTCAATCTAAAAAGTACTATGCTTCGTAAGAAGTTTTTAAAATTATATTAACAATACTGATAGTATTCCTAGACAATTTGAAAATACAAATTTTTGCTAGAAATTCATAAAATTTTCTTAGCAATGTTCATGAAAAATAGATACAAGAATATATTGATATCATTATCGTGTAAACCAACTATTCATTATATCTCTATTTCTAACTCTTTTTATTGTTAACTTTGCAAATTCGCATGCTTCATGTTTCAATTCTGGAGATAAATTTAGTTCATTTTACTGATCACAGTTTACTTCAAAAAAACCTCTTGAGAAGGTTCCTGAAAAAACTGATATTCAAGCAAGTATCAGTTCAACTTATTTAAATACTGCGTTAATGTTTGAAAATGCGTCAGAAATAAGATATTATAATGTCTTTCTTGTGGTTAAAATAGTTAATGGCCAGACAATTTTTTCTGTAAGTGATAATTTTTTCAAAGCAAGCTTGATATTAGGAATCGATTTGAATTATCTTTAAGATATCTTAATTTTACTTTTTGAAAGTATATACTTAGTGGGCTATCAAGTTCTATGTAGGGAGGGCATGCAGCTTAGCACAATGACAGACTCAATAAATTGACTCAGAATCAAGCAATTAACAAGAAGGCATATCATCTGTATGGTAAGTTATATCATTATTTAGGGACGACAGATGGCTACAACAGCCCATGAAAGATTATTACAGAAGCACATTTATGAAGACCGTGAAAATGAAAATGACAAAATCGAAGAGTATGAAATAGAAGTAAGGCTCTTTTTTCTTTACGCAGAAATGAAAATCTTTAAAGTTATCAATATTCATATTTCATAATGCTTTCTATAAAAGCAAACGAAATTTTTCAATCCGAAGATATTCCCGCTGTCTACAGCATATGTTGCTGTAATTTGTTCAAAAAAGGTCTCTAAAGCAGCTTGCAATTGCCCAAATTAGAAATGAAATTTTCTTACAATTTCTCTTCATCTTTTTTTAAAATTATCATTGTAATTTATTATATGATATAAAATTAAGAGTTCCATGTATGCATTTTTAAAACTTTGCAACCAAAAATTGTTTATTGCTACAGACTTAAAATGCCAGTCATTATTTTTTCTAAAGTGATTACTATCTTTGAAATTCCTAAAAAAGTTACTTTGTAAAAATTAATTGAAAATTTTTAGATTGAACAAAAATCGGAATATATGGAAGCAACGAATGTTTCAATTGATAACGAGTTATCTCAGATTCAAATAAGTGAAGCAACAGATTTAAAAAGCATATCTGAAGAAATACAAAACCATTTAAACTTGAAATCAAGTTGTTTACTTATGAATTATGCTGTAAAATTACATCAAATGTTTATTAAATCCTTTTATTTTTTGCACATATTTTTTCAAGATCTAAAATTTTCGGTGGTTTTATTTTTGATTATTTGTTTCAAAAATATTTTTTCAGAATTTCATATTTGAGAATTTATTTTTCAGAACAAAAAAATGAAAAAATGGCAAGTGAAAATGAGGTAATAATTATCCAATGCCGTTGTTTTGACTATAAATAAGTATAAACTATAAAGTAATGCTCATTTTAGGTTAGTCTTTTTTATGTACTACTCAATATGGTGGTGAATTAATTAAAAAGTAAAGATAGAGTAAAGTAACTCTCTGAAGAATTCAATCCTTAGAAGAAGGTCAGAAGTAATAAAATGAATATCTAATTTCAGCAATCGAAAACTAGCGATGAAACTAATTATTTGCAAACTAAAGAAACTGGTAAAGTTATATTATTTTATAGTTTTTAGCAAAAAACAATTTTGCAAGCGAAATAAAACAATTGTAAGGATGATGGCTTGTACAAAAATTTATTGGAACTTTTATCATATGACAAAAAATCAGCTTATTTCATTTCAGTAACTTTTCTACCTGAAAAGAAATCAGACAATAAAAATGGCCTAACAAAAATCCATTTACTCAAATCTGTTTTCGAGAATAACTCCTTGGACAGTGTTGAGAAACCTGTTCAACACAAGCAACAAATTGAATTAGTTGAGGAAGAAGACTATGATAAGAATGAAGTAAACTTTTATAAAACATCAAAGAGCTATAATTATATCTTACTCACTTTTTCTTAAACTGTTATGTAAAAATTTTCTCTCATGTATTTATTGTAATACATGCTAAAAAAGTTTGAAATTATTTACAGAACACTGCAAAACTGAGATTCATCAATGCTTTTAATTCTGGATTAATTAAGCTTGCAAGTGTTATCAAAACCGCGAAAAAAAATCACAATTAGCGTTTCTTAGTGGCTTAGTTGTTTTAGAAAATGTTGTAAGAGAACTTTGACGATCTAGAAACTTTTTTCAGATTAGTAGTTATGCATTCATTTTTAAATTTTCATGTATAGAAAAGTAAAATATACGTGTTTTTACATACATTTTCTAAATAGATTTTTTCAGCGATCAACAGAGATTAAAACAAAACGAGAAGAAATAGCAGATTATAGACATGTAGATCCGATCACAAAACATTACAAAGGAAAACATTTTAAAAAGGTTTGTTATGATTAGCATAAAATACAAAAATCGATCTGGTGAACTTTTTAAGCGCAAATAATCAAAATGATGTTGAGTAATATCTAATTGAAAAACTTAACCTATTAGGGTGACGAGTGGATGAAAATTGAAAAGCAGCTCGAGGAGACGATCCAGGATGCAAGCGTAAATGAAGGTTTTACTTTTCAATTTCATTAATTAATTAGTTAACATCTACGTCATAGAAAAAATGGGAAGCAGTGAAAAACATTTACAGCATTTAAAACTTCTAAACTGTAATATATTAAAATTCAGGACTAAAAAATATTTAATACAAACTATACGTAATTCATATAATTGCATAAGTCAACAGATTTTTCAATTTTACAATTGTAGTTGAAATAATTAATTTCTCAATGATCAATCTATGATATTGCATAAATATTAAATATTGTTTTGGCGAAATGTACTGATCTGCTTTCATATTATTAATAGGAAAAAGAATTTGATCATAAATTTACTGCTGTAAGCGTTTAATAAATCATTCACTTCATCATTAAGGTTTAGGAACGAATGCAACTATGCATAAAAAATTTAATGATAATATCGATGCTAGAAATCGCATTATTATCACTATTACAACTGCTACTACGATTAATAATGATATATATCAGTGATAATAAACAGTGATAAATGATAACTGAATACATTTTAGGACTGGATAAGTTCAATTCTATTCGTGTAGTTAGAAATGTTCGTCAATTCGTTAAATTGTGGTGCAAACAGGGTAGACCAAGTGAGCCAAAGGTGCTTCCAAAACATACAGCATTATCTGCAATAAAGGTTGACTTATGATCACTGAATGTTTTAACTTTTTTAATTTATGACAGATCGAAAGGTCACGCATTCATAATAATACACAATTTCACACTTATCAAACTTTCTTTCTGACTGAAAATTTCAATGTAGACGAGAATTTGGAAAATTATTATTGCGTGATTTACTTGCTTGTTATTTTACATTTTACAAGCTTTTAATAATTGTAATTTTGTCACTTTGTATAACTTCCAAAATTTATTTTTTCCTTTCGTTCATTAATAAAATTAATTATTAGTAACGCGGCAATATTCAACTACACTGCTAGAAATACTTGTTATTTAATGGCTAAAATAATTTAAAGAACGATTTGGCAGTATAGAACACTTTAAATGATAGGCGATAAAAAAGATGTAAAGCATGTCTCCTTTGCTACTTTAATATTAATTATTTCGTTGCAATTACGTTGAAAACGAACAATCTGTGCTATCTTTTATTTGTTTTTAAATCAATTGAATTTTAAGACAAATGCAGTAAAGGTCAAAGAAGCAGAAAATATTGCAACAACTGACGAACAAAATGAGATAATGACAGGCTCAGTATCGGTTTCTCAACGACGACAGAATTTTGAAAATAATCAAATGCTAAAACCGCGAGAGTTTTGCAAGATACATTTGAAAAAAAGTTGGCAAATTTATTAAAATCAAGACTAAATGTTTGTTTGCGAGAAGCAAAAAGTATTTTTATCAATTAATATCTATTAAAGAATTATTTTAATGAATTTGTTTTTTTCTTGTCGGTCCAACGCTTGTAGAAAATGATGAAGAATCACTGGAAACAATGGATGATATGATTAATGAAATGAAAAAGAAAGAAACGGAATCAAAATTAGAAGAAGTAAGTTATTATCAACCAAAAATTATTCAAATATTAATTTTGATAGACTTTAGACAAATTAAAAAAATAGAAGTGTTTAACTTAAGTATAACAAAGTGACATTTTTCGCAGAAATAGTAGTTTTTAAAAGTTTCAGTTAGGTTCTATCGAACAACGGAGACTATTTTTTGAAAAGCAGTCAAGAAGCCCTAAAAATTAAAAGAAAAGTAACGGCTACATTATGCATGCCATTTACTGCTATGCACTTATTACTGCTGTCTTCTTCCACATTATCATCTACAGTTATTATCGTTTCATTTTCTGGATTCCGTCATACATTTTCACTGCACCAGCAGGAATTAACGATAAAAACTTTAATCGACAATGAATACTGCTTCGAGTAATGTACTATCAGTAAATGTATTACAATCCCAATAATAAATAAAATAAAAAAGCTGGGCACAAATTGATATGATTGGAATTTTCATTTAAAATCAATTAAAGTTGTTTATGATTTATACTGTAAGAGATTTTGTTACGCATTTTTTTTGTCGTAAAATGTTTGATTAAACTATATACTACAAACTATAAAAATTGCTGATAAGAAATTCGGGCAAAAAACTACCACAGTTTTATCATTTATGATTTTAACAATTGAACGCTGCAGTACTATTTTGGCGAAATGGCACACTGTAAGTGTTATGATCCTTCCAGATCTGGACACGAATGCTAATTTTACTACTAACAATGAATTACAAGAAAGAAATTAAGCATTTATCTACGAAATTTTTTTGCATTAAGCACACTCCCATCAAAATTAGCAGAAATTTCTTTTTGCTGAGTTGAATCTTCAATAATATTCGCAACTGTTGAATTTGTTGAACGCAGCTGTTGAATTTGCTGATGTGCATCAGTAAACCTGTAAAAATGGTGCTTGTCAAGAGTTTTTCTTCTATAGGTGAATGAAAATTTAAATAAAAAGTAAAATAATATCAATCATAAAAATAGACATCAATTCCAGATAGTACGGAAAGTTGAATGAGACTGTGCATTTTATGAAACGAACATTCTGCTTCGAAATTTACCAGTTGTTGATTTGAACCATTTGTAAGCCAGTTTTTTGCGACAATTTCATTTTTTCGTGTTCATTTGGATATGGATTCTTAAAACATAACAAGTATAAATATTTACAATTAATTACTGTAAATATAATAACTTGGTATATTCATTTTTGGGAAAAGAATTTTGGACTTGCAAATTTTGATTATCTCCTACTTTAAACAAAATAAAATTGAATTTTACTGAAGAATGCATGAAAAGCCAGTTTTTAAGCAATTTAGTTGCTTTTGAAGGTAATGGAGTAGCGTTTTGTGTCGAATTTGCACAGCTTCCACCACTATTTTCTTCGGCAACATTTTTCTAAATAATATTTAACAGTGTTCAATACTTAACAAATTTCTGGAAACTTCAAATTAATATTTAATAATATAATAATAATAATATATACCAACTTTAGTAGCTTTATCAGAAGACAATACTAAACAAGTAGGAATTCCTGTTTGTGGAAGTAAGGATGAAGAATGTGCAGCTGCTGGATTCCAAAGTGGTATTGATAGCTGAAAATTTAAATGATGCTTAGTAAACAAAAAGTGTTTTAATTTATCCATTACAATATGAAAAAAAGAACATTAAAAACCTACCATTCCTTTCGGTGTAGATATCATCGCAACGGTTGGTGGAGTTGATGGATATTTTGACTAGAAATACTTTCTAATGAATGCGAACACAAACATACTATTGTAAATTTTTTTATAAATCTTTCGCATTCGTATTTAAATGGCAACAATTTTCAAATACTATTCAAATACTATTCTGACTAGAATTTCAAATACTATTCACTAAAATACCTGTCCTGGTAATTCTGGAGATGAAATACATAGATCATCATCACTATCTCCGTTGCATCCAATCATTGATTCTTGGCTTACCTTTTTTCTTAACGTCTCTAGAAAAATTAGTAAAATTTATACAATGACTTTAATACTTATCAAATAATACTTTTACAACTCTTGCAAAAATTTTTGAACGAATTGTGTTTAAAATTAATTTTTAGAGTTTTACTCATTTTTATTTTCAGTATGTATCATACAGCAAAATTTTTAAATAGTTCATTAAATAGTCATCTCTCGTTCGAGTTTACTTATAAAAAAATAAGATACATCTTCATGTATTCATTTTTATTTAGTTCATTATTATGTAAATCAGAGATAACTAACGCAAGTATTTTGTCTTGAAATCATCGCAAAGTTCTGAAACTTTCTTCAATTCCAGTAAATGTAAGCGAAGCATAATTATGGAATCAATCATAAAGAGATCTAACTCATTATTTCCCAGTGATATATTTCCATCTTTGCTAGTCATTTCTGTCAGTCGCTATAAAAAAACACTGCTACTTAAATAATAATATAAATCAGTTAAAATATGTGATTCATGCAAATTGAATAATATTAAACAATTTATTACAGTATTAAAAGAATTCAAGAAGCAAAATTCAATAATAAAACATTCTCATAAATTGCACCTCGAAGACGTCATCCATAGCAAATGATGCTTCTGAGAGATTTTGTGTTGCTGCTTCACACTTTTTTGACATCAACTACAACTTTTAAAATGATAGCTATACTTGTGTACTTACAATTCAAATATAAATAATATTAATATTAGTTAAAATTGTTGTAGTTTTGAAGAAAAAAAATCAAACTTCAATGATAGGAAATAATTTGTGATTTTTAATGGCAGATGAACAAGTTCGCATGAATTCCTTAGTTGTGTCAGCATCTTCTTCGGATGAATTACTTGGCCTAATATGAGATAGAATCGTATTTTACAAAATAAGATGACATTGTGAAATAAGTAATCGCTTAATGAACTGAAATTTTAAAATTGAATTGAGTACACTAGAAGAGATATTTAATTATTTTTAAGTAACAACTAGTATAAAGATTTTACTGCACTAAATCATAAAAACTTTTGAACTGCTTTGATTATATTTCAACGCATTGTAATCATATAATTTGGTAGTCCAAAAAAGCTTGTTAAGCTTTGATTACATTCATTAACATTTATCATATGTTTATGAATATATCTTAACAATTCACGTCTCAAATTTCTTTATATTTGCTAAAATCCAATTATAGACTCCGTTTTGCATTTTTTCAAAAATGAAAAGTAATACCTTAAAATTAGCATTCAAAAAAGAAACAACAATCAAAGACAGCCATAAACACGAAAGTAATGAAATTTAAGAAAAAAACACAAAATTGGACAAACTGAAAAAGTAAGCGTTCAGTCGAAAACTGATTCTTCTCACGTTTCTTCATTTTGAATGATGTTAATCGTTGCTGAAAAAGTAAGAAAATCTCAAATTGATAAATCTGTTTTTAACACTGCAAATCACATTACTTTGATAATATATAAATTTCATCTTATTTGCACATATTTTAAGTCCACTCAATTTTCATATGTTTGCTTAATAACCAATTTATTACATTATCTTTGTTTGAAGAAAATGTACCTTTAGATTTGCGCAAATTTTAAATTCTCAGTGTGATGTATAATTCAAATATGTTCAAATTAGTTCACTACAAAAACTTGTGGTAAGTTCACATTCATTTTGCAGAAATTTGATAAAAGAAAATAAGAATTAAATGATGAAACGAGCTTATTTGGAGCATTATAAATGATTTGCCTGCTAGCTAGATCAAATTGATTTGATAAATTTGACTGCAAAAAAGTCGTTAATAAATTCATCAGTGAGCTATTGGCAACCACTGATAAGACGAAAAAATTTTAGTTATCATCAAAATTCCATTAAAAACTACACTAAACGTATCATAAAACAATTATTGCATTGCAAATTTTTTCCAAAATTTTAGAGAAAAATAAAATGCATTAAAATTATTACTAATTTAGCAAAGAATGACAGTTATTTAAAAGACATAACTGAACTTCAGTTTTTTGCTAGGATTTTTCTTCATTTTGATTTAGAAAACATTCAGCAGAAATTTTCAAAGTTTGTCACAACTTTGATACGATTATAATCCCTGGAAAGTCATTTATCATTTAGAATTTTTTGCTTCAAAAATAAATTTGCATTTGCGACTTGATTATTCCGAAAACGCAAAAAATCTGCAGCATTCCTCATTTTACATAGGTAAACTTGGAAAGCATACTGTTTACATTGTGAATTATGATCACTGAAGTTAATAGTGAACATAATAAAAATATATCTGATATGATATTTTTTGATAACACTGAAAATTTTGAATTTTACGAGAAGATAGATAATGCAAACAGAAAATTGTAAAATATTATAAAAACTTTTCTTGTAATAATTTCAGCGATGTTAGTAAGAAGTATGCTAACAACCATAACTCATTGAAAGCTAAAATGTATTGCAAACATAGTTAATTAAAATTTTGGTAGATATTTCATTTTTTAATAACAAGGAATTTTACAAGATTAAAGCATTAATATCAAGAAAAAATACAAGAATTTAAATAAACAAGATGAAGAATTTTCACCACATGCCTACTTTAATTTATTATTTTTTCAAATACATCAAAAATGATTGATATTTTAGAGAAACAAAATTTTAGAAATGGAAAAGTAATGTTGTAAGTAAGCAATATGAGCATGCTCAATACAATGCATAGCTATAAATGACTGATCGAAAGAAAACTCGTCAACAAATAATTTGCATATGATAAAAGAAACTACCGAATTATACATGATAATAATATAGAACAGGCGGCAATTTTGAAAAAGTCATTTGTAAATTTTACGCATTTATTTTTGAAAGCAATTATTAAAGAGCCATTTATAAAAGCATAAAACTTGATAAACAAGTAAGAATAATATTGATATTTTTTGTTGAAAATTTGAAATTCGTAGTCATGAGAAAAAAAACTCTAAAATCCCGTGATAATCTTTTATGTTTTCGATTGAGAAATTAAAAAAATATATACAAAAATACCTGCTTGCCACGTTGAGCACGAACACGACCAGCTTCTGATAAGGCTTGATGCAAAAGAGCTACCTTATCAATGGGTTTAACTTCATTTGCGACAGTTTCTTGTCCATGAGAACAGCATGGTTGATCATTCATAATTTTTTCGTCTTTTCGATTAATTTCCATTACTTCTACAAAAATTTTGTCAATGTCTAGATATAAAATGAAAGAATTATATCAAGTTTTTCTAAGAATTCATGCAGTTAGAAGCAAGTAACTGATAGCAATAAGTAATCAAAAAAGAAAAAACAATTTGAAAAAGTGAAACTTTAATTTGCATAAATCCTCGGGACGAATTATTTTGAAGGATATAAAAGTTCTTCAATTTAGCACTAAAGGAAAAAGGTATACCTATTTATTCTTATCACTTCTTATTATCTCCTCCACTTCATGATACCTAATATCATAAGTTAAATTCATGAGCTTGTGACATATAAATGTTGGACGATCATTGATAAAATCAGATTTCTATGTCAAACAGGAAGATTTGTAGAAACAAAAATATTCCACCGGCAAATATGTACACTCTTATCATTTTTTTCAACAATGTTTTTATTTGTTTAATAGAAATTTAGAGAATATTATTTGAAATTTTCTTGAAAGTATTTAATTTTGTGTAAGCAATGCTTAAAAGCTGATAAAATATATTTTATCTAAGAGTAACTATTCAGCTCCATTAATTAAATAAATGAAATCAAGAAAAACTAAATTATTTATGCATCAAAAGTAAACAGTTAAACTACTAACCTTTTTATAGTTTTAAAAAAAATTCAATGACACTTTTTACTTCACATATTACAGCACTATCAATGCGATAAAAACAGGTTCAATTTCAAAGCAGTACAGCTATAATTTCTTAATTTACGCTTAGCTATATTTATTTCCAAATAAGCAAACTGTAATATATTAAGTTATTTGTATACAAAGCAAAGTATTATATACTTTCTCGAAACTTATTAGCAACTGGCACCGTATCTTACTACAAAAATCTTAATGATGATGAGTAATATTAAATAAAGCCAGCTTGGATATTTTACATAAAATAATTGAAAAAGACAACAGAATAAAAAGTCAAGCATATTTAAGAAATAAAAGTTGAATTATTAAATAAATGTTTGACAAAGCTTATCATTTACTGTAAGCAAAAAAAATTGAAAATGATAAAATGCCTGAGAGAGAAGAAGGACACTCACTAAAAATTTATGACCACCAAAAAGTTATTTAGACAATACTTCCTTCAATTTTTATCATTCCCTTGACCAACATGACATTATTCAGTTATGAAAAATGGTGAAATTCTAATGAGAAGCGATACTGAAGTAAAATAAAAAGCCAGCACACTATGACAATTATAATGATTAAAATTATGATATTACCATTACTACTTGTCGTTAATAATGGCCACCATGATAAGACTTATAGCAATTATTAAAATAACAATAATATTAATTATGATGATTTCTTATCATGAGCAAAAAAATGAATATATATGTATTAAAGAGCTGATAAACAATGAAGTGATAACTAAAAAAGTAGTGCTAATACAATAGTAAAAAAATAGTGAAAACGATGTCTGTGATAGGTATTGAAGACGTTGTTGATAAATACAATGATAACATCAGCAATAATAAATTATAATAATTTGAGAAAAAAGAGAAAAAAAATGTATATTAAGGATTGATGGATTGTTAAATTCAGTGCAATCAAACTTTAATAGTTTTGCATCAAAAGGCCATAAAACCGTCCTTTGCAAGGGTACAACGACCCTATCGCTTAATCGCGATTTACGATCTGTAATAAGACAGGCCACTCATCACTCACAACTAAACGAAACTTAACGATAACTGAGAAAGATCTTTCTGCAGTCCTCCAAATATAATATTATTATCATTTCCATTAATATATTTTTACTATTACATTTATAATTAGATGGAAAAACAGAGCTTTAATGAGTAACTAATCACGCTAGAAGAAAAGGTGTATATCAAAGAATTCTGCACCTCATTTCATCAGCAATTTCATTTTATAACAGTTATACCAAACATTTCTTTCAGCAAATGACGACATATTTGTCGTTCCCAACTAACTATCAGCAAAACATAAAATTTGCTCTACCAAAATGCTTTGTTAAAATAAAATTTATTCTTATGTTTACATCATAATTCGCACATTTCTCATAATTCATTTGCTCTCTCATTGATCAACTCTCTAAAAATATTTGATTTCAAGTTTTACTTCATACACATTTTTGAAAATACCGCAAGAATTGATGTACGTGGCAAGATCATTCCAGAAATAAATTTATGTATCATATTAAATCTTAAAATTGACCTACATCGTAACTGCTATGAAATAAATTGACCTGTATCATAAATATTTTATAACAAATTTTGCCTAAATACGTAATTATCGATAAAATACTCTAAATCATTCTTTGTGATCATGAATGCGTATGAAAAATTAACAGCATCTTAAAGGTTTTGCATGTATAAAAAGTTAAGAAATTAGAACATAACAATGTGGTGAATAAATTTATTGCACGCTGATTTTTCTTTCATTTGATCATATACCCGCCAAAAATAGAAATCAATATAAATAAATTGGCAGTGTTAGAGAATAGAGTAATAAATGTTACAGTATACAACAGTTGTTGTCGAAAGTATTAAATCAAAAGACAATGAAGAAGTAGAAGAAGAAGGAAGAGCTTAGTTGAAGGGCGCATAAGAAGTAACACGATTCGCTAGCGAACAATGAATAAATCAAGTATAATAGGGTGTAGTGGTGGCGGAAGACATTTATTTGACTGTTGCGGATTTGCATCTTTCATCTCACCTATACCATTTTCATCTATGTGAATATTCCATTACGGTGGATAGAAGTTTTTATTATTCATATTTTAATGCATTTCTATCTATAATTTCTCAAATAGCATTCTCACAATTGTGTTTATGATAAAAATTCTCATAAAATTAAAGAAAATCAATTATATTAAAGTTTGAGCATTGATAATGAAATATTGATAACTTTGGTAAAGATTAAACAACAAGGAATTTTCTTGATAAACCTTGGGAACAAAAACTTTGGAATGAAACTTGCAGAGGGCATAACTTTTTCTGCGTACACCAAACAATAACAAATTTAAAACAATATTTTTCATAACGTATCATCCAGCAAACAAACTACTTGCAGAAATGAGGAAAGAAGAATAAAGCTTTTAGACACTATACAATTCTTTAACAGTTCTCATTTCATGGAAAGAAATTTGAATTTCATGATACTAACTTTTTTAATACATTCAATAAATTTCAATCTAGAGTAGAAACCTTCAATTTTTTAAATATTTCGCACATGTAATTGACTTTAAGAATAATTTAATTTTCCTGAATATTTAAAATATAGCGCAAAATGTAATCACAGTATATATCACATTTGTTGTAAAATCAGTTTAATCTTTTTTTTTTGAACTTCGTGCAGTACAAACGATTAATAAAGCTTAATACATTAATGACCTGACAAACTGAAAATAAGCGAAATTTGGCTTAAAAATTTAACATGTAAATGAGTGTGCATGAAGCTTCGACTTTCAATACTTTTAATTATTTTAAAGCACAACAAAATAAATTTGCATTTGTGGAAATATTCTCTCGGATAGATGGTCGTTTTATTATCAAAGTATGCCTTAAAATGCTTTGGTTTATTTTTATTTTTCAGAAAATCGGTTTCTAAAATTCAGATTTTAAATGTTGCACAAAAGTGTGAACAATCAGTGGGAAGCTCAAAGATGTTATTTTTTAGCGATGAAAAATTGGTCTGATAAGCTGAAATGAAAATCAAAACAGTTTTTTGAGAAAGTAGAAAATCGGAATTTTTGATGAATAATTTATGCACACTCTCACAAAGTTTTTTTTCATCTTCATTAATCGGCAAATTATTGAATTTCATGAAAAAGCTGTACAAGTAACGATTAGCTTTTGAGATATCCAAATTATATCATTTCTCATTTTTTCGTTCTTTCTTTTGCTATAATATATCGGTTTGTAACTATATCAGTCTAATATCACCAAACTATATTCCATAACAATTCTAAGTTTAGATTTTGATGGGAAAAGAATCGACGACTCTACTCAATTTAACTATTAGAGTTTCAATGATTTAAGAGTAATTTTTTTTTTCACAAAACCCAATCATAAATAATTTCCTTTTCAACTCTATCAGACACAACAAAATGCGCGAAAAAAGTCTGTATTAAATGAGTTTACAGTTTTTAGATCAAATTGATCAAAACAGAAATACTGTTATAAAGTTTCAATTTAATTAAAAAGTTTTATTTCTTACTTAAGCATCAAATGAAATATATGAAGGCAAAAAATTGGTTTTTGACATTATTGCACTTTATTTGTTCTGCAGAGGACTAATAAAAAATTTTATAAAATTCACCTGAGAATGCTAACTCCACCACACTTTTGATTAGTTTTCCGTATAAACTCAAAAATCACCAAGATATGTAGCATGAATTTCATTTTCAAAATTTTTGCAGAGAGGTAAAAAAGGCTGAAAATTTTGAGAACAGAAAAAAATTTTAATTTATTTATTTATAATCATCTATATTAGCTCAAATTTTCTTAATGGCAAAAGCGATGAGTGATGACTAGATGCAAAGCAAAACAATGAGATTGAGTTCAACTATTTAGATAAAAGATAATTAATTTAAGAAAAGCAAATAACACGTAGGAGCCATCAAAGCTACTATTCAAAAACTATGAAGATTGTTAAAATTTGAATGGCATCACATCACTTAATATGAAGAAGTTATGAATTTGGTTTGCTGTTTCAGTTCAAGTTGATAGCATGTACGCTGAATTTTAGCTAAAATAAAAAATAACGAAAAAAATGTTTAATAAGAATACTGTTTACAGCTAGTAATTTTCAGTTAGTTTTATTTTTTCTCGTTTTTGAAATAGTAAAATATTCTGTAAGATAATAAATATTGGCTGTAAGTTTGTAAGAAGAAATTTTCCAAAAAATAATAATGCTAATATGCTTTAGCTTTTTGTAGTTTCCATAATTGGTTCTTTGATTACATTCATATGAAACTGAACCACTTTTGATTTTGCTAATCAAGCTAA